ATTCTACATAACCCTAGATTGGCCCGAACAACATCATGTTTTATCCTTACAATAGTAGAGAAAAACTGCTAGCTCCCATGTGTGAGCTAGCAGTTATTCTCTACTATTGTAAGGTTAAAACATGATGTTGTTCGGGCCAATCTAGGGTTATGTAGGATCTTCTCTTATATGGCCCGGACAATAGTAGGTTTTATCCTTACAATAGGGCTGTATCAAAACGGGGTACCAGTCAAGTTGATAACCCCCATATATATATATATAAGTATCTGTTGTCATTTATTTTACAAAATAACTTGTAAAGTACATGTTGACATTATTTATTAAAGAAGAAGGCCATGATTATCATGGATATAAAAACATTTAGCTACATTCTTTTTATCATTCATATGAGAATTTCAATACAACTTCTGAATGAAATGCAAGTTATCAGATACGCTATTGTGACTATATTCGTACTATATAGTACCGGCGAAATAGTCTAAAGTAGTAGAAGCAGTAGATGCGTTTAAAGCAAAAAAGAAGGCATCTATTGCATTGTAGTGGCATAGTCAAGGAAATGGCGGATTATGTTTCAACACGTAATTGATGATGCAAAAAATTCTGCATTAATTTTATTTTCAGTATAGTGTGACAACAACTCATCGTGAAGTCTTGATAGTGTTCTTATTAGAATGAATAAAGTTTCTACTGCAAACGTTTTGCTTTAAAATACTCGCTGAAAATTGAAAAGTTTTAAGAACCTATTTGACTGAAAATGTGCCTTGTAATTTCATAGAAAGTCAGCGATGATAAACGTTTTGATAGAATAGTCTTGCACTCGGCTTTCGAAATTTTTAAGCACGTTATGTGTGAGTGTAAACAATGCGATGTGGACTTTCTCGTCGTGCCAGAATATATGAGTAACAAAATCGCAGATATCATAGGAAACAGTTTTATATAAAATTTGATTTTCCCTCTACAATATCCAATGAAGTTTTTCTCCTAATATCTAATTTGCTGTTTTATATCATACGCTTTTGTAGACCAATCGCTAAACTGTAATTGGACAGAAAATCTGAGGTTTTACTAACTCTGATTGCTGAAAAAAACCTTGTTTTTCGAAATCATTTCTTAGTTATGAACATTTTTCTCTAGGAAAGGCTGTTAAAAATTGTCAGCTTCGAATTCAGCTGATAATTGAAAAATTTAATTTTTACCTGTTTGTAATGTTCTATTGCAATGCTATAAAATTCGATAAATGACGGAAAATAAGACCAGTCTTTTTAGTCGATGGAAGTTTTCTTCTCAATTTTAGAAGCGTGCAGAGAACTTTTCCAGTCAAACATGTTCTTTAACTTGTTCAGCATTCAATAAATATTATAAACTAAAATCTTTGTAATACAGACTTTACACTTTCTAATAAGAAAACTATCAAGTGCCCACAATGAGTTGTTCTCACACTCTGTTGAAAACAAAATCAGTACAGAACTGTTACACCATTTCTAAGCTAAAAGTTATGAACACTACAAAGATCTTCATTTTAATTTTATCCTCATACTCTGACTTTGATTCATTCTTCGTGTTACTTGTTTATCTTGACCATGGAAAACTTTAGAACAAGAAATTGAATGAGAGATGATTTTGTCTGCGATCAAAAAAATTGACTTAAATGGCATAGCTTCAATACTATTTAAATCGTTTTCTCTAATTTTAAGATTTTTTCATTATTGATTTTTAAAGGATTAAGCTCAATTAAACGATTATTTAGTAATTAGCTGTTGATGCTCCTTGATGAAAATTGGTTTAACGAAAAAAAAAAACAAGAGAAGTTCCTCTGTGTGGCTGAAAAAGTCGATTATCATTCGAGTTACATGCCATTTTGAGGATGTGGCACGATGTAGCTTTATACTAACACTTCAACAAACTATAATAAAACAAGAGTTTTAAAAAAATATTCACTAAAATCTCAGTCGGTTTGAAACCTTTAAATTGTCATGAAGCCAGACTGTCTCCGTTTATGTACAACGAAATAAAAGCGTTTCTTCTATTAAGTATTATTATTTCTTCAGTTGTCAATATCGATTCTCTTCATTAAAAGATTAAACGGCAATTTGTATTTACCTTTTTTTTTTATTATTGCTATAAATCTTTTCTTAGATATTTCATATTCGATATTATGCACATGAATTTTTATTGCCGTGCCATATATCCTTTGACAGCAATCATCAAAGGAGAACAATGGTATGTATATGATCGTAAGTAGTTACCGTTTTCTTTTCTATATGAAAAGAAGAAATGTATGACGCTCTTCCAGTGAAATGTCTCTGATGAATACAATATTGATTTGGTTGTTAGTTGCCATTTATTTGTTCGAATTCATTACGGCACAGTTAGTTAATCAGAGTAAGAAATAAAGCAATCAAGAACATAATGTCAATATTTTAAAGCTTAGAATCGTTTTATAGGTTCTCAGTAATAGAAAAACTTAAGAAGAAGAAACACAAAACAGTGACAAGACACTGAGTTTTGCTTCAAGGGATTCTGCTTAAACAATGAATATTACTTTTCTCATTATAAAATAACACTCTACATTCAACTTTTATTGCAAGAGATTCTAGAGCTGTGTTACTTAATAATCATTGTCTTTTTTTTTCAAAGAAGAGTTTGATTTAGCATAAAGAAGTTTTATATGTTAGAACAAATTAAATAGATATACGAATGACCTTCATTCATCTTTTCCAACGGGTGTGACCTTTTATATTATGACAATCGCGTAAAGATGTATTTAGAGAAATATATGGTCACATTCACAAAATATGTCTGAAAGATTTCATGAGATAGGAATTAATGGTGATCATGGTATATTGCAATCACTACTCCGCACTCAGGCGAGTGTCGAATCCAAGTTTTGCACTCATTATACAACTCGTATAATGTTGAGAAATGTCAAATCATCTATGTATGGCATACAGTTTATGAGGCTCTCATTAGTGAAATAGTTTTATTCGATCTAAATGAAAGATATTTCGAAAACATTCGTCACAAGATACATTTCATATTATTCAAATGATGCCAAAAAATCTTTCTGATGAAAAGGATTCGCAAAATATCCATTCATCGCTTTCAACATAGATAGCTTCCTTATTCTCATACTCCAACTCTTGCCAAATCACAAATTAGAATAATGTTAATATTGGCAATAAGAATCCGAATTATAGATGAATTTAAGTTTGACTACCTAGTAACACGTGTATCATACAAGGACTGAAAATAAATATAATCAAAGAGCAATTGATGCATTCTCGAAGAGTGTGAATGTGAGAATTAGGATGCGGGTTTTAGAATACAGCTGATAGTCGTCTAGTCAAGCACACCTAAGTTTCGTGCAATAAACTCGGTTACAATAGTAGTACGATTGTGATGAGTCTTTAATCTAATTTGGGCAGCTCAGACGATCGTAGACGGTTGCAGTAGTTCTAGGTTCTTACGTTAAATAGAGTTTTCTACAAACTAACGTAAATGGTTATATATTTTGAATTTCCACAAAATAGTAATTTGCCATTAAGTACAAGTTTAACTTCAATTGATATTCTGAAATACGAATTCGATTGACTCGTTTTGACTACAATATTCCATGGTGACTGATCGATAATGACAAAATAGAATATTGTGTTATGTACAAGATTCAAAATTGATTCGATCTCCCATTCTTTGTTTCTTTTTAAAATCCTAAGAGGAAAATGATCAAAATGTATCATTCAGATTTTTCTTGTGCAAGAATATTCCTTTCCCTATCATTTCACTTATAACTTTTTAATTACACATGAGTATCAATGAAACTATACCCAACGTGTAATGTATGTATTAGTGATAGAAACTCTAATTTATGACTTTGTAATCTTCGCTAATGATATACAGTCGAGTTATTGTTTAAATAGTATTCCAATATTAGAATATAGACTACATATAAGATGTGTATAGAAAATTTTTCGCAAAACTGTATCCTAGAAACAAATGTCAAGATTCAGTTTTTTGTGAACGAATAGATCCAAATTGTGAATGTTGTTTGTTGAAAATCGTACGGATCATAATCGATGTGATGTGAAGTTGATAATTAGCAAGTTTTATTTCTAAAAGTGAAATCGAATTTGCTATTATTGCCAAATACATTAGTAATACGAATTTCGTCAGCTCTTTCGTACACATTTACCGGATGTCTTCGTTTATTTTTAAAGATTCTACGTAAGACTTCTTGCACTTGTTCATCTTCTTCATCATAATATTCATCTGGAATTATTAATTTCCAAATATTTTTATCCGAAATACCCAATAAACTTTTCCATCCTCGTCTGGCATAGAGTGGCAAAGATAATTTAAAACCATTTTCTAACGTAAGAACTAATTTTGTATGTAAACCTCTTTCATTAAGACCTCTTCTAGAAAAATTTTCTAATGTAACTTCTAACAACTTGTTCATAGCACGAGATTTCAATACACCATTTTTATAATCTTCTATTAATTTAATGCCTTGTTCGAATCCTATATGAGGAATAGAATAAGGTAAAAATTCTTCTTCTTCAATAATGACATTATCTGTTATCTCAAATGTCCATATCATATCATAGATATTTTTAAAGTAATAACCATTTCGACCATTTGTATCTTGACCTTGAACACGCAATTGTCGATTATTTTGTCCCCATCCAATTTGAAGTACGGCTATATTTTTTGTTAAACGAGCCTTTCCCGAAAGAATTATACTCGGTTGTCTAGTCCAATCTTCAGATGGTACATAACGTATCAATGGTATTCTATTGTTTTTATTATATGTTGCTTTCAATGCCGGATTCGATCCAATACTATCAAAATCTGCGAAACGTGTATAGATTTTATTGATTTCTTTGCCAAATTCATTGCGTGCTCTTTGAAAAAGCATTATAGTTGAACCGCCTGCAGCTAATGTTTCAGCTTTAAATTGACCCTCTTCCGGACCGGTTAATTCATTTTGAAATTTATTATGTAACCATGGATCAGCAAAAAAAATTCTTGTACCATCTCCATTGAGTGTATAGATACTTGTTACACCAACATATGGATCTGGATGTTTTTTTCCATTCATATCAGTATAATACATTGTATCAGGGCCTTTATGAGATGCAGCAATACTTCTTGCATTTGGAGCCATTCGTAAAATTGGATTTTTCAGAAGATTTACAATCAAACAAACGCCTTCCATGCCAAACCATTTTTCTCTCCAAGTAACACTTGATTGAATTATGTTCCATTGTGGACGAATGAATGAAACTTGACAAATAACTCGATTCGTTTTAGCATAATGAATAGTTTGATTTTGATCAACAACAATAAGATTATCACCATCAGCACTTACATATATTAATGGAGTTTTTTTCTTATTAGCATATCCATTTTTACCTAATAATCTCCATCGACCATCTGGATGAACAGCAATTGGTTTAAACCATATTCTTCCATCTCGAATTGCATAGAAATATTTCGAATCTATTGCATCAATTGGTGTACAAACATGTGGAGGAATAATTTCATGTGCTTCTTTTGCTTCAATATTGTTTCCCTTCGATTTTTCTTTGACATATTGACTAATAGCATGTGTTACACGTTGAGATATGTTGGAAAAAAATGATACTATTCTTGATACAGGACCCTTTTCTTTGACACGTAAAATTTTACGAACAACTTTATCTTGTTCGGGATCGATTGGATAGGGTCGTAAACTTTCTTTTTCATCAAGCATAATGACAGTTAAGCAAATAACATCAACTTCGAATGGAATTTATCTAGAATACAAAACTATATATATATATATTGTGCCTTATTTCTCTAGTAATAATTGCGATGTGTTTTCTAACGAATGATGAGTTGGATAATTCTTTGAGTGTTTTGAGAGTCCAAATGGAATAGAACTTATTCTCCTGACGCCAAAGCTCACCTTCAAAAAATTTTTAAATGATATCTTTATAGTTTCTGACTGTTTGTTTTAAGGGCTTTCCTAGATACAATCCAATTTTTAGAATAGATACTAATCAATAAGATAAACACTATATTAAGCGAACACATTTTTCTCAATGTTTCCTTTAAATCGACAGGGTCTTCTGAAAAATTCAATTTTCTCGAGATTTTGCGAACCTGTTTTCTACTTCGAGGGTCACGATTTAATTACCAATATGAACTATCTGTGTTAGAATCGTCTATTGAACATTTTATTCAACCATTGGTTTTTCAAAGGTGCAAAATCAAAATCCACCGCCAGATATGTGAATTTTAGAAGCGGATTTTTATTTTTATTTTTATTTTTATTTGAACTTCTGAAATTTCAACTAAGAAAACGAAGGATTCTAATGAGAGAAAAACCTTATATTTAGAACGTCCTTGACTTAGGTCTTAAAAAATGGTCTTTATTCATACTCAGTGAGGTTCAAAGATTTGAAAAAAACCTAGTAGAATCCATTCTGACAAAAAAAAAGCGTCAATGATTAAAGTGCTGAGCGAATGAAAAATTATAATTCTTTCGACAGATTTCTTTGAATAAATTATACATATTTGTTGTTCTCTTTAACGAAATCCTTAATTTTCTCAGTAGAGTCCAGAAGTTAAGCAAAAAAGGCCCAAATCCGCAAATTTAGTAGCTGACCTTAGCTTTACGTCTTTGAAAATTCGTTTAGTTGAACAGAATGTTCAAAGGTAATTGCAGCACAAATAATATTAATAAGTCGTGTTTTTTATGGAAGAAATTATACTTGTAACACCTCGTAAAAAATTGAAGAAAAAAGTTTTCACTACATCAAGCTCTTCGACTCAGAAGTTAGAGGCTACTAAGACACCAAATTAAATTTTTGAAGGTGATTTTTTAGCGTCACAATATTGAGTTCTACTACTTGTGAACATTTGATACACTTGAGACGTAACCGATGTAAATTGTAGTAAGTTTTCGAAACAATTACCCAAGTCCTTGATTTATTTTTCGTAAAATGTTAGAAATTTACAGATGATATTACGATATAATTTGAGTTTTCAAAACCTATGTAGAGTCAAGTACCAAAAAACATACTTATGTCGATCTTATTGAAATACTTGAGATCAACTAATTTTGATAATTTCATGTATGACATACCAACGACTTGTTTTGAGATATCAATACCAGTTTTTTTGGAAGTATACTAATCATTAAGTTTTGATATGAGCATTAGTGTGGGAATAATACTGCTCTTAAATTTTTATGTAAGAATCAATATTTATGACCTATAGCCAATGGGCTTCATGACCAAGGAGAGAATTCAGTTAAATTACACACTGAAATTGATTTTTTTTTGCTGCTTGTCAAGAAAACCATTCGGACCTCCTCTAGACAAACGAACTAACATTTATGTGTAATTGATTCTCAAAGGCTTTTTTTCTTGTTTCATCTATATGAATAGGCGCTTTCCTGTTTTCTGATCGATTTAACGTTCTGATTCAATTATCTCTCGTTCAGGGTAAATGGAAAAAAGGGGAGGAGAATGATCAACATTTGTCTATTATCTTTGATGACTATTGATTATATTCGTAGAGAATATACTTAAACTACCGCAGTAGAAGACCCTGGTCTTCAATTGTGTGTCACTGTTTTTTAGTTACAAGAGTTTTAAAAGCTATCATATTATTTGAACTGCAGTAAATTGAAGTTCTTAAGCTGAAAACCTGAAAAACTAAGCATTTTTTAAATGTAATTATCCTAATGAAATTTCAAATTTTGTGAGAAATCAATTAATTAAGAAAAATCGTCTATTGTGTTTCGAGATACATTGTTTCTCCATGAGTATCCTTCTAACATGGTAGTCCTCCATTTCAGGATTGGAATTTACTCTACTTGTCACCTGCTGTACGTAAACGCCATCAGAAAGTGAAGACATACATGCCTAAGAAAGAAAAGCAAGAAGGCCTATAAAACAGATCCATTCTATTGTGAATTTATATGTAAAATCTTACAAAATTTGTCCTTTGAAATTTTTTCTAGTCATACAAAAGCCTAGTTGTATGAAAATCACTTTGATAGTTACAAAACATTCGTTATGATCAAGGTCGTTGCTCATAGAGATCAAAGAAAAATAATTGAAACAAACCTTTGTGTAACTATTATGTTACCTTTCATGATCCATGACAGTTTAAATTAAATTGGGCCTTATTTGTAACTGAATGACAAAGTAGGCAAAATACTATCCATCAGTGACAATTTTATGCTTGTTGTCAATATTTTGTTCTATGTTGATCAATATGAAAAATAAACCGCACACAATGCAGAACGTCACAACCGAAAAAGGTGAAGCATGTTTTTTTGCGAGTGCTCTCGAATATAATACTGTACATAACGATTAATAGAAAGTAATTCAGATATAATCAATTTTTTTTCATCCATAGAGCAAAAGCAGTAGAATGTATGTACGACTACCTTGCCTGTATGCTTGTACGTTTGAAAAAAAGAAAGTGTTACCTGTATGCTAATGTATTGAGTAACTTTGTTGTGCATTTTTTTTTCCTGTCAACGTGAAGAAACACAATACTAGAGCGCACTGTTTTTATTGGCAGTAACAAAACTATTCGATCTTTAGATTAATTATGGTTCTCATGACTATACTTCAATCGGAATTGGTGTGCTAAAAAAGGATCCGTTATTCGCAAGCTTACTTCATTAAACTAATGAAAAATATTCAAGCAAAAATCATGGATATTTTCTATTATGAGCATATTAATTCGATTTTTTACGAGAAAAAAATTGCTTTATACAAATAATTTGATTGAAACTTATCTAATCTATGCATCGATTAGAATTTTAAAAAATACTTTTGTATACATTGGAAACGATTATCGGATGGAAACCTGACATTTGCTCTAAATCTAATGAAATTATAATTGTGAGGAATTCGATAAATGCATTTCAATTGTATCATAGGTGATTATTCAACTTCTAATCATGTTCTTTTATCAGATCAACTTTATTGATGACTACCGAAATACAACAGACGTATCAAAAGTTTTTCAGCTAACTAAGTATTAATTTTAAGCTCAAACTAAATAGTTATTCCAATCAAAACGATCGATTTGAATGACAAATCGGATTGTCAATCGATTAGAACAGCTTTTTTTAATGCAAAATTGTGATTTTTCAGTTTTTTGAATTCTGGTAAGAGTTTATATTATCGATAACTCGATGAAATCAGCTTGGTGGAAATTGTATTGTTTTTCAATAGGATAAGTCAAAAAAGTCGTGTAAAAATAAGTTTTTACATTAAAAGCTCGAGCTATTGACGATTCATTGTCTTCGGTAATGAAGAGATATCGAGTATTTTTTTTGTCTAAATAGGTCGTTGAAAAATTCTGCTCTTGCAACACTTACTTTTGATTATTTTTATAAATTACGCATGTACATGTAATGTAAGAAACATGAGTGAATAAGTCGTCGAGGATCAATAGTCTTCGAAGATGATGGATTGTTCTATTCTAGAAATGCAAAATTGTTTACTCAGATACACACTGTAAAGCTGGACTCGGTTTTTTCTATTTTTTTATTATTTCTTCTTTATTTTTCATGTGGTTGCGACTGTGATTCTAGCTAAAGGCAATACCTACATTGTCAATATGAAAAATCGATTAATCAAGTCCCAAACATTATCTTTCAGTCATCATGTTATCAAGAATTGCAATCGATCAAATTTCTTTCTTTCTGTAGAAAAGATGCAGAAGCAACGCTGAATTCGCAAAAGAAAGAGTACTGATTCATAATTATTAGATCGAATCAACATTCACTCCACTCAATCGATCCATCACAGTTGAACTCATTACTAACAGATTTTACCCAAAAGGATTTGATTTATCGTCATAATCAAAAACACGATCTCAATCTAATGTGACGCATCGACTCGAAACGATTCATCTCAGAAGATTCCTTTTGTCGTTTAGTAGGTTTTTGCATAAATATTTCAAATAATTGGCAAACAGAGAGACTATTTCACTCGATTTGTTTTTATTTTAATAATGGGTTTGTTTATATTACAAGGTCTTTTTTCAATCGAACACTACAATAATAGAAATAAAGATGTGATCCGATAATATGCCGTCAGTGTAGTGACTCTATGCATGCTGTGTTGTCCAAGAAAGCTTGCAAATCTCACGTTCAATACACTCAAACACATATTTCATTCGGTGATTCTTGGCTTCAACAACTTACCGTTATTATAAGGGTTTGAATGTTGGCAAGGCTGCTAGAAATGTGCGTTGCAGTGAGAATTTGTGGTTAAAGTGAAAATAGTGGCCTCATGCACCCTTATTCGCATCCATAAATACCCTACATGCACTAAAATATATATTATTAAACTGACTATACGTATTACAATAGAATAAGAACAAACAGGGCTTCAAGATCGGAAGATGTATAAGAAAATGTTTCACAGAATTATTATAAACTTTCAAAAAAGTTTTCTTATCCTGCTAAATGTCAATGAGTTATTTTTAATTGTTATAAAAGTGTTCATTCCTTACCTCACTCATGCTTTGGTGAAACAAGAGGGAAAAACAACAACATATAGTTATTCTTTCTGTTCCTGATAGGACGAAGAATATGAAATGCGTACGTAATAGGAAACGACCGTATTTGATCGTGTCGTACACAGTTGAAAACGGTAGTCGACTGGTCTGAAAATCGAGGATCTGACCACTTACAATACAGTGAAATAGAGTCGTAATACTACGACCACTAAATGGCGAGAAAACTATCTACAACGCCCATTTACGGCAGCGTTCATTTGGCCTTGGAATAGAAATACAAAAGTTTAAGATGAGAAACTGAGTAAAATGGAAGTTCTATATGATCTTCATATACAGACTTCGCGAACGATTATAATATTGAGTCATATAATAAGCTAATATACGACGATTGACGATCGCTAACGTGCGCGCTTGTTCGAACTGAATTTCTTCTTCTTAACTTAAATATTGATATGGCAATGATTCATCAAGCCAGACTGTATTGGTTACCGTCGTGTTCCATATTACTACTCAATTTAAGAAAGAAGAAGAAAAAAAGGATAACTATATGTCGCTGTTTTTGTTCTTATTTTATTATAAAGTGTATATTGAATTGAAAAAGTCTATTTTACTAATTATATGTGTTGTAAAACAGTTGTACTTTATTTAGAAAGAAGTTGCTGTATGCAGAAAAACGTCACATTTTTGTGTAATATATGAAAATTAGAGTATTTTAAATAATTAAGTAAACAATTAAGGAAGAGGACATAAAAGTGATGAGTTTTGTTAAAAAGATTACTTGATATAAGTTTCTTGACAGAGTTCTCTCGTTCGATGAATAAAACTGATAGAACAATAGGAGCATCTAGCTAAATCAATATACTCACCAAAATAAAAACATGTTTTTATTGGTCACCTTATCTCATCCAATCCTAACACAACAGCAAATAAACATGAGTCGAGTAACTGATGATAATATAAAATCATTTCCTGTTATGATTAGTCTCGACTCGAATCTATTTTCTTCCAATTACCGTCCGAATAAGAAAATCATTTTTGATCGCTCTTTTTTGAGAGTACATTGATCGACTAACAATCATTTAGGTGACGGATCCAGTAATGACGCTGACAACCACATGATGAACCTAGAATAATATCAATGTACTAGTACGTTTAACTTCTCTTAACATAAAGACACCCGAAAAATGAAAAAAAAACGATCATACTGTAAGCTACTCATGCGCTCACTGATCTTTACGATAATTTTTCAAAATGTATCCCTAATTTAAATTAGGTAAATCTTGCAGTTAACATTCATTTTGAATACTAAAGCATACTTTATTAAAAGATAGTACTTGCATAAGATCCCAAGACATTTTTCTTTTCTTCTTATAAATAACTGCATATTCTTAAAATAAATATTACAGTGAACAAAAATGTTTATCCAACAAGTCTCATCCCCTTTTTCAGAACAGGATCTTCATTCTATGACATGATTTTGGATTGAAATTTTGTGCACACAATGAGACTATTGAATCACGTTTATAAAAGCAATATCAGCACCGTATCTCATTATTTGTTGTAATTATAACAATTTTGGTCTATGCATTGCATTCGTTTTTGGGATCTTATCGGGTCTTCAACAACATTCAGCCATTACGATTGAGGAACTCAATTATTTTTTTATTTTAAATAAGGCACTTGGGACTAGTGAACCTCATGGTCCTTTTTTCAGGTTTTCTTCCTCCTTTACTTTTGAGATATTCATGAAGTGGAAAATTTTTCAATAAAGCTGAGAAATTTTATGGAAATAACCAAGTTTCGATGAAATTTGTGGATGAAGGTCTGACAGCGAGTTAGGAGAAGACGGATATCCACAGTCACACTCACTCTATTATAATCCAAATAATTGAAAATGAAAATATGGAATGAAGATAATTGTGTAATCGAAACAGCCTTTTTTTAGTTTTCTTTCGTTTTTTTTTATTAACAGAGATTTCATTCTTTCTATTATTCATAACTACGAAGTATTTTATATACGTGGTCCATGGTACCTGCGGCATTATTTCTATTATGGCAATATTTGTAAACTAAATTTTTTCGCCACTTTTATACGAACTCTGACAAAAAACAATTTGAAAAACGAAAATGCTTCAAGAATAGTGTTCAGCGTGACTGCCTTGACTCACAGTCACCAAAATAGTCATATATCCTGTGCCTGTATTGATTGCATTAGTTTTTCTACATCACAAATAATTTCATATTATTAAATTATTGCAATCTTTTATTCTTTTTTTTTCTGAATCAAAATAATTAGACATAAATATTAAAGGAGAAATTAGAAGTCAGGGAAGTTTAAAATTTTCCTAACTTGTAATGCATTTCTACGACATAAACGTCACAACAAGCAGAAAATATAATAAAAGTACATATTCTGTTACAAATACAATTAAACGAAAATATACATATATGTTTATCTTTTCATTGAACCGAATCAAATTAATAAAAAACAGTTTTCTTCTTCTTTTTCTTGATTAATAATCTTATCATTTTCAATTGTTTTTGCCTGTATCAAGCTTTCGCCACAATAAGAATCGCTCATGAAAAGGGATCATAACTCACGATAAACTAGAAAGAATAGCTGTGATAAAAAAACTTAGTCATGCCAGGAATTATTCAAGATATTTATTCCAAATGAGTCATTCATTAGTAATCATCTGATCTGGAGAGTAAGCACTGTGAGCTATCAGATTATATATTGATCTTAAAAACTGATTCATTTTCGCAAAATGTTTTTTTCGTAGCGCAAATCAACTTCTTTGATCAAAAGTTCATTTTTATACAGGACAGTAATCTCGAAATTGTATTGATTCTTAGCATACACATTTCAAAATATTCGATTCTATATTTATCTTAAACTTTGTTTTCGAGAGAATGGGACTTTTCTTGAAAGGAGCGAAGTAGCAACTTAGAACTAAAATGTCTCGATTTTATCTCCGATTTCAATGACTAATAATAATGTTTTGCTTTCGTATTGTCATTGTTTCGTCATAAATAAAATATTTGTCTTTCTATCGTTATCATGTTTTTTCTCTTGATAGGTTTCACGTATATAAAGAGTGGTATTTAACATTATATTAACTATTAATATTTTTTAACTACAATACACAAAATGACCGAGCAGAAGCGTCTTGCTAAAGAAGATTTTAGTAGTGTATGGAAAGATAATAAAAATACACTCGCATCAGGATTAAAACTTGATCTTGTTGAACATTTATCACGACAACGTTTATCACAAGATTGGGTTGATGCAAAAGAACGTGTTGTTAAAATTATGAAACTTGATCAATTTGATAATTCACAAGAAATTAAAATTCTTGATATTGGATGTGGTTTAGGTATTGATTTAATGTTAGTAGCAGAGGAAGCTGGTCGCTTAGGTAAAACAGTTTCAATTATTGGTTTAGATCAAAATTCAACCATGCTTGAAGAAGCAAAGAAGTTATATGAAAGTCAAAAAGATCGTTTATCATCAAATGTATCCATTCAGATAATCCATGGTGATATTCTTCAAATGGAATTTAATGATGAAACATTTGATATCGTCCGTTCTGATATTACTCTTCAGCATATAGATCTTGAGAAAGCTTTAATGGAAATTAAACGAGTATTAAAAGTTAATGGCCGATTAATAGCATTCGAAGGTGGTGCTGGAGATGTTTATAGTCCCGACGAAGTTATGATTAAAACATATGATGCCGTTTTACCAACTCGAAGAGATGGTGGAACTGCTATCCGTTTACAATTTATGTTACCAAAAATGAATTTTGAAATTAAAAGTTCAAATCCAATAGCTTTTCTCCAATCGGGCCAATTCTTAGCAATTCAAGATAAAGATTGGGTTAAAGTTCGAGGAATGGGTGAATTACTGGTTTCAAAAGGTGTCTTAACCGAAGAAGAAAGTAAAGACTTTCAAAAGCGTTATATTGAAGCGTGTGAAACTAATCAAATAATTTCCGCTGCAATGATGTTTATTATTGAAGCTGTTAAATGCAAATAAAAACGTTTATTATCGCAGATCCTCTCGTACTAAATCGTAGAATTCACATGTCTTTTTTCTAACTTCATTATATGAATACGAGATACATTAAATGAAAAATTTTTAACAGATGATGTATTTTTTTTCTAGAATAATTAACTGTCAGATAAACAATCTGACTTATTTATTTCTACATTTCGAATAGAATTTTTTTCTTTTAGGCTTTTACTTGCGCTTTATTATTCATTTGTCGTGTTGCTATTCGTTCGTTATTTACTGTCTCACTTTTCATTTGTTCGTATTAAATAGATACTATTATTAATATTATTCTAAACATTGATTTAACTGACAAATAAGCCTCTTGAACATATCTATTATCAGATATTGATAAAATACTCTCTGACCCATACTGAGCCTTGTTTTACTTAAGATATACACCAGTCGAATGTTTTTTTAATACTATCCTCTATTATATATAATAAACATCTCAGCATCCTATTACGTATCTTGATAATATCAGAAACATTGGTATTCATTGTTTTCGAAAGCTACAGCTTGATCAGTTTGTAATTCAAGTATGTTTCATATAAAGATCGTGGTACATCAAAAAACTTACTAGCTATCATCTTTGATATCTATTATATAATTCACTAACTGTACAAAAATCAGAAACTGCGTTATGTAGAACATTGAACACCGTATTTCAACTATTTAAATTTCAAGAAGGCTATAGAGTACTCTCGAATGATCTAAGTTTTGTTGTTAATGCTGTTCAGCGTCTTTTTTCTGTTGCTAAGGAGCTATCGAAAAGAATTCTAGTGCCTATTGTATTTGGTTACTATGAGAAAGTATCCACTGGCCGTAGACTCCAATCGGTCAGCGACGTTAAAATCATTGGTCTATATCTTCACTGTCACACTTTGAATCGAGTTGTCGTGGCGTGGGGAAAGACCAAAAGCTCTCGCCTTATAACTTACACTTACTATTTTTCTCTTTCAATTATGTGAGTTCCACAAATATTAGAAAGACGAAATAAATACCAAATCATGCAAAATTGAATGTTAAAAATGATCATTATTAATGTCGGCATCAGACTTCAAAGTACTCCATTAAAAAATTGTTTATGCGAAGGCTACAAGAAATATAGATTTATAAAATAACTAAAGATTAGACCATTGATTAGAGAGTATGTAGCTTGCAAAATCTATAAAATAAAAGACCTATGTTTTAATGAAATATGAATGAATCAAGCAGAGATTAATATCCAAATCAGGACTTGATCTCAAAACAAAGTTTTCATGTACCGAATATATGATCCAATGAACGCAGCTTCCAGATGGATAAATACCATCGTGTAGACTTCATTCTAATTGAAATAAAACCATAGCTTATTCATATGAATAATCAGACATGGCGAAAATATGACTATGTGTTGAATTTTTCCTTAGAAAGTCGGCAACAGCAAGCATAGATGAACTTTTTTAAAGAATATATAAAAATTTTTAGTTTCACGTAAATTTAACAACAACGAGAGTCTTTATCAATCTAAAAAGTCTCATAAATTAAACTTTTCGATAACTTAGAGAGTTTTATTCGAATATCTTCATTTTTAGTACAAACATTGTCGTATAATGACGGTAAGTGTTGCTAAATATTTCCATAGACACTTTTCTGATGAGACTGCAAAAGAACGCCAGACTTTAGACGAATCTGCTAAATGAATGTTTGTCTCTGAACAAAATCTGTTGAATTTTTTTGCGATTTTAAGAAATTTTTGTGACGCTCGACTTTTGTGCATCAAAATTGCTTGGATATACTAAGACCTCTCCGTATAGCTTATGAAAAGGAAAAAATTAGCCGTATTTTAATGCAAAGACCTCTGAGTTTCTCATTTTTCCACAACTTCAGAATATTGAAAAAGACAAGTTCCTTATAGTTTTCTTTAGTCATATTTATTATGTTTTCATTGTTTACTTGATATGTTGATGGAAGTTCAATCGTCGAACTTTGACGGGAAAGAAAAAAGAAAAAACTTTGAGCCTCATCGAGGTTCAACATGCTCCGTCGCAAATGTAATGGAAAATACAAAAGAGATATTTTATTCTTTCTTATTAGGAGAATATTAGTAAATTTAATTCTTTAATCTCCATAGCGATTATAATCATTTGAGGCAAGTATTGAATGACTCTGTGGTTTCTACTTTTATAATAAAATATTTGGTTTCGTTTTATTGCAGTGTTTATAAATAAGAATTTCTTAAATATATTCATTATTATGATGTAAATGTATGAGTAGTCATTGTTAAAACACATCATATGATTTAAATATTCTTTTTTATTTTTCTACTATGCAGCGTTTAATGGAGGAAAGGGGAAAGAAAACTATCGTCAACACATGAATAATATTGAAATGTTCAAAATACCTCATTCTGTAGCGATAAACAACAATGATAGAATAAGTCTTTCTGTATGAATAAATTCATGAGGAAAAACATATTACTCTCGACACCATTATTAAAAATATTTAGAGTAGAAGTGTTTTTAATTTATATACCAGAACATGGCAAAGATGATTAGTCAAATTAGAAAGCTATGGTACAGTACAATTTTAGTCGTTCTTTTTGAACAAATGAACTCTGTGATCTGATGAAGTCTTGTTCGAAGAAAGAGTGAAAAATATAGACCGATATAGGGCGGTTTTGACCGGTTTAGACCGGTCAATCCAAAATCCAGACCGGTATCGGACCGTCCCGACACCCACACCCGGTTCCATCTCTGCCTTATATCTCCTATACCTCCTATATTTTCATAAATAGGAAACAAATAGGGTTTCCAGAAATTCGAATAGGTTTCCTGGAAACCGAAATAAAGCATCTAATCATAATACAGATGAGTTCCTTAGTGGTGATCATTATAGATATTGATCATCCACTCAATGGTACTCCTGAATACTATAGATGGTTTCTCTAGTGGTGATCCCTATAGATACCGATCATCTACTCAATGTTGGTGGTCAATAGTACAGATGGCTTACCTATTGCTGGTTGTGATGCATGTTAATCATCTACTTCATGGTTATCCTCATTAATTTAGAGAATCTAACTGCTGATGCTCCTTATAGGTACGCATCAACTTCTCAATGCTGGTGCTCAATGTTATAGATGATAGTAAACGAGCAAAAATAGCATGTTAAAGAATAAATGCATGTGCTTTTGGAAAAGTATAGCATATAAGCGTTGGTTGGATGAAGGCTAAGTTTATGGGTGTGGGTGGATGTTGATGTGGATGAAGCGAAGAGTCAAAACCACGCTCCCATCCACAACCACAGCCGCCCGCATGGACATCTACACCCATATCCAAAAATTGCTTTTCTTTTTTCGTTGACTACTAAAGATTATCAATTTATCTCTGCAGACTCGGCTAACCGTTGTCTGGATTTGAGAAATAAAGTTGACATTATCTGTATAATTAGCGGAATTCGTCATCCCCTGATATTTTCTCTGTTTTATGCATTATGTATTTGTAGAGGCACTTCTTCAATATTTTCTTCTGCTGTGTCTAATTTTCGCTAATAAGCTTGATTGCATTTTGTTGTACTGTTGTTCCGATCAGTGTTCTCAAGTATTACAGCGAACACTGTAACTTTCATAGCCAAACGTGTGAATAAGATATTTTCGATAGTAAACGTTATCACATATGCTTTCAAACTAAGCACAACGACCCTGTCATAGCTTAATGAGACTTGAACAGTGTCTACGCGAGAATTGATAAAACTTAAACTGTTTTGCGAAACTATCATTGACGTCGTGCAATGAAATAGAGTGTTTAGCTAACTAACGAAATCATAAGTGACTTGATACAACGTCCAAACGTTCCGTATTTGTTACACGAAGCTTCCGATAATTTTTTAAATCCTATATAATGATTTCGTATATATTGCACGAAACCAATAGTGGTTCCGTATACAGAATACGAAACCACTGTTAGTTCCGCAAGTGGTAAAATGGTTCCGTACACATTAGACGAAACCATTGATGGCTTGGTAGAAGATCTAAAGGTTCCGTATATACAATATGAAATCAGTCTTAGTTCCGCAAATGGTAAAACGGTTCTGTAGAAATTGTACGGAACTATTGATGGTTTCACAAGCTATGTCATAGTTTCGTACACATTGTAAGAAGCCATTGATAGTTTCGAACCGCATATAATGGTTTCGTATATCTTATACGAAGCCATTAAGAGTTTTGCCCTTTATCTGAAGGTTGAGCATACATATCACGAAACCATTCATAGTTGCGTAAGTGTTCTAATAGTTCCGGACACGTTCTGCGAAGCTAGACATGGTTTCGCAAAAAAATATTGAACCATTACATCAATGACAAAACTATGAATAGTTCCGTACAATGTATGCTGAACTTTTTGATGTTTTACGAAACTTTCAATAGATTCGTATACGATGTACTGTAACTTTAGTTGTTCCACGAAACTATCAGTGGTTTTGTAAAACATCAAAAGGTTCAGCATGCACTGTACGAAACTGTACATAGCTTCGTAGATGGTGTAAGGGTTCGGTATATCTTTTCGAAACCATGACTAGTTTCGTAGAGCATGTCCGGAACTATTAGAGCACTTACAAAACTATGAATGGCTTCGTAGAACCTATACGAAACCTTTGAATGCTATACGGAGCTGTCAAAGGTTTCGCACAATACACACGAAGCTACCGAAAGTTCAGTATATGATACTCGGAACTTCTAGAGGGTTTCGTAGTAAAACTTCGAAATTCTCTTCGATTTTCGGAACTTAAAAAGGTTCCGTATGAAAATTACGAAACCATTTCCATGCCACGGAACTTAAAATGGTTTCGTCAACGGGTATGAAACCTTCAAAGTTCGGTAGAAAACCTTTTTTTTTTAGTGTGGTAATATACCGCGGTTTACCTGAAAAACCAGGAGTATATCGCGATTTACCAGAACAAACTACTGGTTAACTGCGGTTATGGGAGCTGGTAATCCAACCGGT